TTTGAAAAAAAAGGGGGGGGGGGGGGGGGGGTGAAGGACGCTATGTAGGCCCAATATTAACAACTGGTTAATACGAAGTTGATCCCTCTATGTGGCTATAACAGGCTCAACTCTTCTGGGAAAGCTTTCCTCAAAACTCTGGAGTGTGCCAGTGGGTATTTGTGCTGATTTAGCCAAAAGAGCACTTGTGAAGTCAGGTGCGGATGTTGGATGAGAAGACCTGTCTTTTAATCGACACTCCAAGTCATGTTAATCGTGTTGAATAGGGCTGAGGTCACGGGTCTATGCAGGCCACTTGAGTTTCTACACAATAAACACCTCATGTCTATTTAGAGTTGGCTTTGTGCACAGCACCTTCATAACTGTTGCCACAAAGTTGGAAGTGTACAGGTATCTAAAATGTGTTGTATGCTGCAGCAGTAACTGTAATTTTAACAGGGGATGCCAAAAATCAATCATTTGGGGCGTATCTACATACGTTTGGCCATATAGGTAGGAACGCGAAGTGTCCACAAACATTTGGTCATTGTAGCATATCTGTTAAAGCATGGACATGTACAGTATAATGTATGTATATACATTTTTTCTGAACAGAAGTATGACCAGGGCTGTGGTAATAGTAGGCCTTGCCCAGAAATGTTGGCAGTTAAATTGTTCCATTTTCCGAATGGAGAATATCATGAGTTATACCACCACCTATTTGGGATGTAGAGCTCAAATGCTCAATAGGAGCATCCGTCAGCTGCCATGGCCATCACTGACCTATCAGTAAAACAAATCCAAAGCGCTAAATCTGACCAACAGATGAAAAAAGTGCAAACGAGGTTGACTAGGAGTGCTGCCCTACTTCAGCTTGGGAAGCTGCAACACTGAGGAAAAAAAAAAAAGAGAAGGGCGCCCAACCTAGTGTAGAGGGTTTTTTAATGTTATGAGTAAAAATACAAGGTAAAAACATACTCCCAAAGTGGATCATTGTAAGCAAAGAAAACCGAGCCTAAGCTGTATCTGTAAAACGGCTGCACAGATGCCTGTGTATCAGCACAGGACTCCTTTGATGACGCGTTTCCGGGGCCACGCCCCCTTCATTAGATCATCAAATCTGACGAAGGGGGCATTGCCCCGGAAACGCGTCATCAAAGGAGTCCTGTGCTGATACACAGGCATCTGTGCAGCCGTTTTACAGATACAGCTTAGGCTCGGTTTTCTTTGCTTACAATGATCCACTTTGGGAGTATGTTTTTACCTTGTATTTTTACTCATAACATTAAAAAACCTTCTACACTATGGTGGACGCCCTTCTCTTTTCTTTTTTCATCACTGACCTATCAGTAAAGTGAAAGATGCAACCCACCCACAGGGATAACCTACAATTTCTGGGCAGCAGAACACTAAGGTCACCTTGTTAAACCCTACACTACCACAATGACTTTCCTCTTATTTCCATCAGGCACCATAAATCATTTGTTTTTTATTTGGTTGCACAAACTGTTTTGCATTTGATCTCCCGTTTTCTACCACTTCAGCTTCCTATTCTGTCTCTTTTCTTCTGCGTCTGGAGCATTTCAGAGTTTA